ACGAGGAATATAGTTTCGTCTGTGAGGTAATATGCCGAGAGAAAAACTCAGTTTCCACTAATACACTGTTGTTTTTAATTCGGGCATTTTTCATCCAACCATCCCTTGGGATTGGCAATTATGAGTGAGAGACAGATGCTTCTTCATCCAAAGTTTAAACACTATTCAGTCGTATTGTTGATAATCCCAGTGGAAATGTGGCTATTTGGCTTAAGAACATGACTTTTAAACAGCAGTTTCTAAGTTTGAATCCCATTCTGTTTGTTTTGACTTAGGAGACCGCGTAACATCGTGAACCGTGACACTACGAATGCGGTTCATAACTGATTACATGAACATTTACCCAGCTGGGTCACATCATTGGTAATTAGTTAACTAGTGACCAGCTGATAAGTATATAATAAGTCACGACAGGCAAAAACGTTTTCTAATTTTTTGAATGAAATAGTAAGATAGAAATTAAAGCAATAAGACCTTTCGAAATGTTAACCAGGCGAGGTTCTTTCGAAATGTAGTGCACAGTAATTAAACCATACTCTGCATACAACAAAAGGAGATTGTTTTGTATTCTGACAGTTATAACTCTTAATTGTGTAGTACTGCAACGGCCTTTTAGTGTTCCAAAACATTTCAACCATAGTTTTTGAGTAGTACGGTGTTATGATTTAGTAGCGTCACACACTTCCCCAAAATCAATAGCCTAGGGTTCGACGACATTCAACATTGATGATGACCTTGATAATTTAACTGGACTCGCTAAGCTGAAGGCACCTGGTCAAGCATCCTCGCATTCTGGCATGCTGTCGTGTTACGTTGCGTCGCTCGTAATCGACTCCCTAGCCAGTCAGTTGGAACGCATCGGTATCTTGGCAAGACCTCGAAAATATAGCATTCCACCCGGTTACGCTGTTGTGTTCCTTCTTGGTCTCGTATTCGTGGGTATATAACAAGTCCGAATAATTAGTGATTGGTCTTTGTGTCTGTCAAGTTCGCACCAGGACAAATCCTAAAAGTTCACTGTTGAATGTGCAACACGAGGATAAGTTTTACTCGCTAATAAGAACAAACTGATCTCCAGTACTACAAAGTTTAATGGTAGCGTCATGACGCGGTCCCCTTGGTTATGATGCATGCAGACAATCACAAATTTGACTAGGAGAAATTAAAAATCCTCCAAAGGGCAGATTCAAAAGCTACAGGGGAATTCCTGGCATTCAAACAAAGAGCCAATCAACAGACATGTGGATACAAACGTAATCTATAGGCTACCTGGAAAAAAAGAAAACAGTCATCCACCAACCAAGGGCAAATCGACCGAAGAAATTAATACTGTATGACAGCAACAAATAGAACAAGTTCACTCCAATAAAGATTATGTACTGTGTGACTGAACGAAGTTTAAGGTCAAGATGTGGTAAAAAACCTCTTCCCCTGCTTACAAGTGGACAACACCTAAGGTCAATAAACATACTATCTAAACGTTCGTGTAAGGAATTGAATAAAAGTCACTTCATTATGAAGTTAGTGCTGAAGACGTCACTTAGCCTGGTGATAAAACGTTCACGACAAAATATCAAATCTCAGAGAACACCATTAAATCAATGCATTATTATTGTACTGTGAGGTTTTTTACACAACTCCCTACGTGAGATCTTTATAATGTTACATTACAGGTAGAAATCAGATGCGTCAATTCAACCTACAACCAGGTATATTTCGTTATCTTAATGTAGGCGTACATGAAGTAATATCGTCATCTTGAAGTTATTTACCCAACAGATTAAGAATAAGATGTTAAAAATCAAAACTGAACTCCAGCCCCATCAGAATGAATGCGGGAGAGATGGTATAGAAATCGGAGTTAAGGTATAAGAATATGACTTCGCATTTTCATGAACACTCCTGCTATAGGCAAACCTATCAAGTTTATCAGAATTCCTTCGCACGTAAAAAAAAACAGCAGTTCACTGTACTATCGATTATCTTCTACGAGGAAATACAACTTCTGAGTGCACGAATGAAAAATGAGTTTTTGAAACTTTTTTTTAAGTCTATAGGCTGAAGGTCGAAATAGAATGAGTCAAAATATTCCTTACTAACAATTTCACATTATTTTTACCTTGTAAACATTAAGTGTGAAGTTTGGTTGTAGGCTTTTGTCAACAGTTTTGGGAAAACACCGTGACTACTGAATTCTTAGGTATCGAAGATAAGTACGTAGAAAAGCAAGTGGGAAGACAGTAGAAATTGGTAACACTACTACAACACAAACTGGGCATAACATGAGCCCCAAGAGATGTGCAATACCAATAACAAAACAGTATCATGAAGACAAAGAAAGCGGAAGAGAAAATGAGAACAGAATAGGAAGTGGGTTCTTAAAGAAGTTTAAGGAAAATATCCGAAGGAACATTTACTGCTTTCATTTTACTTTTCAGTAACAGAAGAAATAAGGTAACTTCAGCATGATCACAACTGGTTTCGACTGTCAAATGATTCTGCTATCGTCTCAAGGCACTGAGTTTCATGATCTCTTGGACTTCATCAAAGAAGTCTTTGTTGTGATGCCTCAGTTTTGTATAAAACATTGTTATTGATCTGAACATTTTAACGTGTCATTCCCAGATCGTTTTTGCGGTATGACTAACAGTCTATTTTCTGCCTCCATTGTAATGTAATTCGCTGATTGGTTAACTTTTACTCTTACTATGCGAATTTCTCCAACTGCGGACAAGGTCAGTTTTCATGTGTATACTTATTCTAATGTTTTGGATTGATTCATTGTTATCATATTATATTCTCGAAGTAATACATTCTCCCATCTGCCAGCTTCGGTCTTCTCTCTATTCGTCCCGGGGTTGCAGCCAGTGTCTCTTGCGTACCAAGTTAGCTGTCAGCTAAGCGCGCGTATTATATTCGTTTCGGAATATTTACATATACCATTAGCGCCTCGAACTCATAACAATCTTGAAGCACCAACAGATGTTAATCCAATGCAAATATGTTTTATCTCACGACACCACTTCATACACTGACCATCTTTCCACTTCTTTCAACTATTGAACGGTGTTGGGGCTGTTGGAAAGCCTAAGTAACATATCTGAGTCCCGAAGCCGGTGTCTCAAGGTGGCCATACTCCATGAATAATGATATCCATCATTACACCTCACTTAAGAATTACTTACTGTTTCCTCGGGATGCGAGAAATTTTGCGGAGAAAAGGGTGATCGAAAACACAAAATCGTCTAACATACTCAGCTTGGAGAAGCCAAGATTTATAGAACCAGAGAAGAGAGTTACCCACACTAATGCGTCATCAACCCAAACGTTTACAGCAGGGTTAACACTATGGTGGTATAAGAGGTGACGAAGACTAGCGTAAGCCGCTCTGGCTTTAGGCGTACAACTGAGGGACTTATCAGTCACACCTTCACCGGTGCTTATGCGTCTATCCAGATAGACAAACTTTTCGAAAACTTGCAGGAGTTCACCGCCATAGGTGAGTGCAAGTACAAGCTCGTGCTAATCTTGTAGAATCCGTTTAATGGTGCAAAACATGTACCATACTTATGAACACTGATCGCTAACTGAGTAACCTTTATGTTGTTGTACAGCAAACGATATTGTGCGCATGCTCAAGATATAATAGTCTTTCACCTGGTAACAGGTCTACACCATCAATAAGAATTTCCCCCACGGATGTCTCCAGAATGTCAACGATGGGAGACTTCAACAGAAATAGCATGGTCGAGCAAGCTGCAACCCTGCTTTTGGTTTAGATCAAGTTTTTAGCCACCTAAAGAAGAAATAACCTCCCAGGAAGTGTCAGTCTTCCTTCAACTCTGATAGAACTCAACTTCTTTCAGAGTACAACTCTGAGTAGCGGATCGAAAGCAGTGTTAATATCAAGAAATATAACGAATTTGGTCTGGAATAAATTTGACGGTGTTTAAGTATTAGGCGTGACAAATGCATCTAGGAGCTAAATGCAACCCAGCTTACTCCTGGAGGATTAGTTCCCCATGTGTTTTGCAAGGCCTGTGAAGCACGATAGCACTTTAGACACTGCCGGTAATTAACAGATAGTCCGATGATTATCATTTAAATAACGTGGAGTTTTCCTAAGGATATGTACGACAATAACTTTATTCAAAAGTAGAGGAACATTCTCAATCTGCTATACCCTCACGGAAAATGTAAGCAGTTCCTTGACTAGTTTCACCTCCACCCTTGTAAAGAACCGGGTTCCTTATGAAGCTCTAGAACTTAGATTTTCATGGACCCCCGGTTCCTTAGGTGGACCTGTGTTAACTGAACTTGAGATTCAAGACATTAAGTTCGATGTCTCTGGAGTAGAAGATCAATTGGAATGTTTTTTAAAGTGCTCAACACAGTGCTTCAGGCATCTATGAAGGTTAGTGGTCGGCGTAACATCTACTTCACAGATCACCTCACTAACACCGAGATTCTTGACATTGGTGGCTCGGATGAGCTGAACTCGTTCACAAGTGACAAAATTTGAAAACTTTTGAAACTACCAGATTGTTTTAAGAAGGATGTGTTCAATGAGTTGTCTCATGTGAGGCATACAACTTACCAAAGCCGAAAATCAGTAATAGAAACTTAGACCATAAAAAACTACTCGCTTATTCAAGGCTGTTAATACAAATAATCTCACTAAAGTACTTTTATACTTTGCTGATTAATGCAGACAGATATAAAACTTAGCTTGAGGGTTTCTTAATGAATCTCATCAATCAATGAAATCGTACTGAAATCACGTGTATATTAGGCAACAACTGACTTTTAGATGAAGGATACATTTCGATTGATTACTTTAACAGTTAACACAAAGAATGTTACTCAGAATACGAGCAAGAACATTAAAACAAAGAGAACATATTCAAAATAAGTTAGTTTACATTGACATTGCTGGGTTCGTATCACATACAACCGTGTATTCACACTAAAGAAAATGAGTAAGAAAGACAGTCACTTTATTAGGAGTATAAATGAACGGGATCGTTACTACAGTCTGAGAAATCCCCTTGATCGCAGTCACTTAAATCTTCAATAGGCACATCAAACGATGGTTGTAAGTCGATCATCTAATTTTGCCAAAATAAAAACACAATATAGTTGAATAAACTTCAGCTAAATGACTGGGAGATTTCTGTTACAAAAAAACTTAGTATCAATCAACAGTTTCATATTCTAAAAATCAAAAGATATATATATCGGGAGCGTGTCTTGAAATCATAGGAGGTTTAGACTTCACAAAAGATTAGTATTTACCTGAATTATTCGGAATTTTCATGGATATTTCATCAAATGCACTTAGGAACTTTAAACTTGTTCTTTAATAGAAAGTAGAATGCTTCTTCGCTACTGCAGTTGATGTAAGTTGGTAAATACTAGCAGGACATTCTCCACACATGTCATTTTGTCGATGTAACACTAAAGATAGGCGAATTAATCAGTGTGCTTAAATACTTTAATTCTATTAAAAGGTTAGGTGTCAGTGAGCAGTAGCTCAGCAGGGCCACTATTCGTTTAACAAATGAGAATACTTGTGCCACATATTCTAAGTTTATCCATTATTCAGTGATTACAAAAGAGAGTCATGTCAATATTTCTACTGGGTATTATTATAAGTCAGTTAGAAAACAATGAACGCATCTAGTCAGTGGTGTTGCTCCTTTTAATGACGACACTCTCCATGAACCCTTACACAACTACACTAGATTGAGTAGAGCGTTTAGTAATATTATAAACTTTTTCAGTAACCAAACGTGTTGATGCACAAAGCCAAATGCTTCTTCTAGGCGACATAACTAGCGATCCTGAATATCAAAAGCTTCTGATAATTATGTTAGTAAAGTTTATTCATCTGCTATAATTACACGAAGACTTCTTGTTTATCAGACAAGTTTAATAATCAACAATGAAGATCAAGTATGAACAGAATTAACTTTGTCAGTTAAACAAGAAATTGTGGATCCCCATTCATAAGGATGAGGAACGACTAATATCTTTTATGCTCATCCAAATTAAGTTTTTCACTACCTATTCTACGTAGATTATAGTTAGAGGACATTAACATTATTTAATTGCAATGATTACTTGATTTGAAAATATGGCGTAAGCAGTAAATTTGTTGGTGTTGGGTTCCCTACAGTTGTTCCTTCATGCTTTATTCTACCTTAAGTATTTGTTTATTTCATGTCTTTCACCTTATAGTGGAAATCCGCACGTTTCTCATTCTTTCCTCTGGTTCACTTTGGACACAGCTTTGACACACTTCCTGTGACGTGTTTTAGATAGCGATAAGCCCACAAACAACTTACGACTTAAGGTATGTGATTCACTATTGTTTAAAATTACAGTATTTCAGACAAATTTTGTGTATCGGATTTTATGCGTAGCTTGAACGTTTGGTTTATTGGTTGAGGAATAGCTTAGTCGTTCCGGTTCAGATAAAAGTGCAGGCCTACGTTTATTGACGGGAATTTACGAGCTATCTGATAACCGCTAAACTACACTTGACTGACTATTTGTTGTTTAAACGTCAGATTGCGACCATTTTACCCTGATGCATAAGTGACCATCTACTTCTAGTTCAAGTATTTGAGTTCGAACATTATTGGGATATATCAAGGTAGTCGATAGGCTAGTAATACGGGTATTTTTTTTACTTAGGTTAGTCGTGGGGTAGTCAACGGTCCATAATAGTGAGTCAAGTTGTGAACAAAGGTACTAATTCGCCCATCCGCGTAGTGTGTAAATAACCTAAAAATAGGAATTTCCATTGACATACACAAGTTACAGTCATAACATTAACTAAACGAGAAGTGCATATTTTTTTAGAAATCGTAATCTAAAAATGCTATTCAATTCAATTACATTACATTGTACGACAATGGATGTTACCTTTACGGTTAATCACGAAGGTGGGAAAAGCAATCTGAAGATAGTGAAGGATACTACTTAAAATATGAAACTATATGTGCTAACAAACCTGTACGGGTCTAAACCAGCAAAGAAACTGGAGAAGAAGCCAATGTAGAACAGCTGCAAAAGAAGTCACCTTTCCAGTAAATGGACCGAGTTGGTATAATCTTTATTTAAAAAGAAATTACAAGATCATTAAACTAATGCACAAGTGTAATGTATTTTTTTCTAATTATGAAAAAAACTGCAACAACCCTAGAAAACCACATGAGAGAAACTAATTCTCATGGGACTCAGGATAACATGCTCTATCCTATAACAGTAAACCATTTAGCTTTTGACTATTGTTCAAAAGGAAAAAAACATTTCAAAAGCGAAACAGGTTACAGTCTCGGTAAAATATTTAAATCAACTTTGTTTAAATTTATAAATACAGACGAGAACAATAGCATCCAGTGGTTTTTCAACTCAAAAATGGCGTTTTTAGCTTCAATGATCGACACGGCTTATGCGAGTATCGCGATAATAATAATAATAAAAATGATGATGATAGTAATAATAATAATAATAATAGCTTCATACCAAACAAGACCTGTGGTACAGTATGGGACTTTCAGTATGTTATAGTTCAACAAATTCATTCCTTGTACAATATCTTTAAGCGAAATAATCATTGCATTTGAATAATGTAAATAATAACAGTAATAAAAGCCAGTGTGAAATAGGCACCCTAGTATTACATTAGTATGTGGTTTGGACTGGTGAATGTTTAGAATATCGAGCGTAATTTTGGTAGTGACAGTTTATTCACCCAGTACCAAAACCTGCAATTCGACATAGTTATCCAAAGAACTGTAATATGCCATAATTCTTTGCGTTTATAAGCCTATCTCTTAGCGGCATATCATTTTTTGTTTTGTTTTGCTGTTAGCTTGAAAAACGGCAGTTTGAAACCATTTTAAAAGTGCGTGAGAGTATTTGACGTGTTTAAAAGACATTTGTAAGATTAAAACAAATAAAAAGGATAGCATTGATAAAATAAATTCCGTCAAAAATTTCCGAGTAGTCCAAAGTTTAGGCAGACCGCTAGACCGGCATTCACCAGGAATATACAGCATTCTTATCTATGTTTTACGTTTTAGTATATGTTCTCAAAGTTATTTCATCTGCTTTTGAATTCTAATACAATTAACATCTGAGAGATGTATATCGAAGACAGAGGACAGTTCTAATATGTGTAGGTACTGAAGAAGTGAAGTGAAGTAAGAAAGAACTAAGTGTTCGAAATATTCTTCATACTCTTATATCACAGGAATACTTTCCACATGTTCTGTGAACATATCTAGTACAACTAGAAGAAATGAAGTGGTAGGAAAGAAAGCCATTGTGTTGAATTACTCGACTGCATTAGCTCTTTCTGAAAGACAATGAAAACCCAGTATATATCGACGTTTCCTAATCTAAGTGGTGCAGCTGCACATAATTTAGTATAATATCCTTCTTGTACACTTCAAAAAGAAGTCAGCCTTTCCTGTTTATGCACAATCTGTATAATAACATGAAGTATCAATCATGATTGTAATTAACCATCTTTGTTGAATGTTTTAATTTTCAGCTGGTAACCAGATTTTTTGTTTTCTCTTTGCTTGACTGATAAATTAGGTTTGCACAAACGCACATTTGATAATTGACTGATTTAATGGGTCCCTAAGTTTCCGAGATAACCAATGACGTTTAAGCAGTTTCTGTCGATTGAAAATGATTTATTTGTCTTGAAAACAGTCACTTACTACAGTTACTCCTGTGTACATGTGCACCGCGAACTAGTTATCAATGCATGGCAGTAATAAGTCAGGCTACATCATAACCGTCAGAGTTGCATAACATTTTTAAAATGAAACCTACGATTGTAAGAAAACACTTGTTAAAAAACACAAAAAGTTCACTCTACTTAAACTCTTTTACTATCTGAAATGAAAATAAAAACTTCTAGATTGAGGAGACCAAACAAAAGTATATCATTGGACTGACAGTTTGCATGCACGTCAATAAATTTCTGATAAAACTGTTAAGTGCTCGTTAGTGATTTGCTTTGAGATAGACTTTCCGAAGTTATGCTGGAAAGCCATATCCTTTGGAGTCAACTAGTTTGACTGAGGTGGGAAATACTCACCGTTGATGGTGGTTGGGATAAATCACGAAGTGATGTAAGCTATTGTATTTCAAATTCATGGAAACAGTAGTGTGGTTGTTGTAAGATCTGATGGCCTAGAGTTCAATCCCACATGGGGTAACGGATATACATAGACAAGGAGTCTTAAAGTATGATTAAACAGCTGGGAAATGCTTCCTAGTTTTAATGGTTCCCTGACTAATGAAAACATCTTTAACAACAAAGAAGTTTAACTTCAATGAACTACATTATACATGAAGGATAATAAGCATAATAAGGTAGAAACTCCCTTCTGACGTACGTGGAAATTCTCTCCCGCAATGATACAGTTGGTCTAGACATAGCAGCAGAATAAACTTTTTCTGTACGTTTAGCAACTTTAGGCCAAGAGTATGTGCTACGAATCCATTTATGCATATGCCAACAATGATCCGTAATTGAATTACAATTATATTCAGTTCCATCGAAATTTCTAATTGAATCAATTGCTAGTGAGAATCTACACAGGGGATTAGGAGGTTCACACTTTTCTGACTAGATAAGAATTATAGATTTAAAAAAAAGTAGGAAATAGTTACATCAGAGTAAAAGAAAACATTAAACTGTATGTGGAATGGAGCCTTTAACAGATTCGACATTTTGATGAGAGAGGGAGAGGGAGGGAGATTAGTGAAACTTGTAAACGTGGAGTTGAAACACGGAGGTGTATTTTAATACCACTTGATATTGTTCGTTTGATGTTGTACACATTGATATAGCATTACGAAACACATATCGTTTTAGGAACAGTTTATTTTTCATATGAAGCTAATAACCGAAATTAAAACCACAGCTTTAAATTCTGAAGCTGGTTACTCTGTAATACTTAACCATAGCAGAATAGAATAGATATTAAATCTATTGAATGTGCTATGTTTCGGTCCATCAACAAAAGTTCAGCATACATCTTTACCTTTGATTTCGAAACTGTAAGCCGATTCCATGGTACGGTATGATTAGGAGTTTTGCGGGAGGATGACAATAACTTGGTATTTTAGAAGGAATTTCAGTTATTATCAAGTATCGTCTAGTTCATAATCCCATTACAAAGTGAGAAGAGCCACAGTTCCAAAGGTCAGTGCAGGTTATTGAAGAAAGAGACAGAATAACAAGGTCTACGAAGGTAGAATGAATGGTTGAATACTGATTCTAGGCATTTTGGAAACACTACTTACACGTTAAATAAAAAGATAATAAGCACCGGAATCATAAAATCCAAGTTTGAAAGTCGCATGGTTGGCTTGATATATATAACGTCCAAAACATCACCGGTAAATAAAATTATCACTGTGTTCGATGTCAAAGGAACGAATTAGTGTAGAATAACGTTGAAATTCCACCTACTGGTTTTATGTGCCTGTAGTAAATTTTGCCAAGACTCAAAGTGCTTCTTTCATAGGTATTCACCAAGAAAAAACACAGTTACTTTGACTCTATACTAGAATGTTTCAAGATGCTGGTTACGTGTCTTAGAAGACGATACGATAAATTAAAATATCGAAATTTCTTGGGAACGCAGTCATTTGTCTTAATGCTAGTGAACATTTTTGATGGAATAATCAAAGGGTAGTAAGCAGAGCATTCTTAAGTATTACGATAAGGCAGGCGGTATATTTTCAAACATACTTCTCAGTGTATATGAAGTAGTTTTCTGACCTTGGTACAGTATAAAGCTAAATGGAAATATGTTGATATGCTGTTGCTAACGCACATGAAAGATTGGATGAAACGAATTTCAACATATATTGACAGTACTGATACTGGGAGATGATTGAAGGTGAAATGGAAATTCGGACCACGGCGGGTCTGGAACCAGCGACCACTGAGTTTTCGGCCCGATGCTGTACCAACTGAGCTACGAAGTCCGACTGCTGACCAGATTTGTATTTCACTTCAATCGCCAAGGATTTCACCCGACTACCATGTGAATTCGTGACGCGTTCCTACCGCTTGGTCGTACTCACATTATCTGCATAATTTTTGGACTGACAGTGATGAAATGTTGTTACACCAGTGATCCAGCAGTTAAAGATTGAGTTCCCAAATCACAGCTTCAGGACTTCATACAAGTAGTATACATTTCTGTTTTCATATGTAAACCATAGTTAGTGAGAAAAAGCGTATGAGAAAATACGTGGTAAAGAATGCTTGATAAAAGATGTGCTTTAGAGCTTTAACGCAAACGAACGGACGGGACGCACTCACCAACCTTGTAAGCATTCGTGCAGTAGGCAGTGAGCTACATCTATTGTGTGAGGGCTAGTGATACTACCTGTCTACCAAAACTTCTATGGGTGGAGCGGGGTTCGAACGTTGTTCGGTTTGTCTTCACATAACAAATATGTAGAGGGCAGACTTACACTTTTTCTCTTAAAATGTATGTACTGAATACAATAGCAAGACTATGAAGATATTATGAAACTATTTGGGCAGAGATACTTAACACATTTATTTTTTAATATTTATTTGTAACTCACTTTGAGAAACATTAAATTATCAAGAGATTCTTGTACAGGAGATGTGAATTCAAAATTTTGTCGTTGTTGACGAAGTTGAATAATGGACTCAGCAACAACGGAGGCTAATTCTGAAGCTTTCGCTGGAGCAAGTCGAATGAAATGCTCAGGTAGGACTTCTGGAAGTCCCCCTACTGCTGTACTGATAACCATAAGGCTGATAGGAATGAAGAAATATGGACGATTTTTAAGAGGTTATATTAAAATTAGAATGTAATCGGAGATGTACATGGTTTAAAATAATAGCAGAAAACAATGAGATTTGGATGAACGCATAGAAGAATGTGAAGTAGTGAGGGTTGACATTGGAGAACGAATTGTACTATATGCAGTTATTTGTTAGGCTACATGATAATATATTTTAGAATAATTAGAAACAATTGTCCTGCAGTCAGTTTGCTAATTGTGGGTTGATGATGAAAGTTACCTTATTCGTTTTTAATTAGTTTATTAGATGTATCACGCAGCAGAACAGTATTACTTACTGGATTACGTTTCAGACACAATTTAGTGTTAACAGACGTATCAAGATAACTGCAAAACTTTAAGAAATGGTTTACCTAGTTCTAATACTCTCTCTCTCTTTATTATGTGGGTAGTAGTATTTTCCCTATATCCGGGAAAGGCGCTGGGTCACTCCTGTTGCATGTGTTTGGTGTTGATTCGATAAACAAAGATTCGGTTAATTATCTCTCCTGACATTCCACTACGTTAGTTATAAGGAGTGTTAGAATGTCCCATCTCATTATATGGTCGTGTGTAATTGCATGCATAGCTATAGCCCGGCTTGTTTTTCAATTCCTTATTTAACTAGGAGCTCTCGATTTTGATTTAGCTAGATTTTGTACTCGGACAGCCTAATTGATAACCGAATCTTTGTTTATCGAGTCAACATTCAACACATGCAACAAAAATGGCTCAGCATTTGTTCCGGATACATGGAAAATCTCAGGTGACCATATTACAAAGAGAACGAGAGAAATAAAACTGTATAAATCACTTTTCCAAACTGTGCAGTTACTTTGGTATGACTATGAACAATAAATTGTGTCCGAAATGTAATCCAGTAAATAATACCGTTCCACTGTGATTCGAACTCACCTATTACACATAGAAGCTGTAAAAATTAGAGGTAAGAATCCTAGTTTTTGTATTCAGAAGAAATTTGTACATCACTTATCTCTCATTTTGCCAAGGAATACTGGATAAACTACTTGAGCACAGAAAATTTTCCTACTCCATTATTCTTCATGCCTTTCACATACTATATTTGTTTAGACTTTGTTTACCTACTTACTTTGTCTTTCAGTAGTATGTAACTTTTACTTCTCTAAGCTCTTGAACCACTTAGATTATCGGAGTGTTTACATCTTCATGCTGTTTTTTTGGTTCTTATCATCCCTACCATATATATAACAACTGCTTTATTCAACGCTGTCAACGTTGTCATTTTTATTATTTGCATTGATATCATTACCGTTATTCAAAACACTCATACATCTGGTAAATCAACTCGAATAAAATTACATTCTAACACTGCCTAAGTTTTACCGTTATGCCCTCATCCAGTTAGCCACACAAATTATGACAAAAAATATCCTTTTATTCATCATAGACTGACATCAGTTGGAGGAACATTGGAAACCTGAGAGCACTGGACAGCTGGTTCATCCTGGTATAGGACTCCACAGCAGTGGGCACCCATGACCCCACCCTCCGTGGATCGAACCCAAAACCTTTACGTTCCGTGGCCAGCGCGTTACCATTGAACCACTGAGTCGGAATCGCAGGTTTCCAATGTCTCTCCAAATGATGTCAGTTCATGATGAATATCAACTTGAAAAACCACTAAGTCCCCACAAACCTCATATTCAGTATCGCTTTATAATTTGAAATGTTCGCACTGTTGCACTTTGTAAAGCTAAAACATGTGATCTAAAAATCACCAAGTAGAAGCTAAGGTAGAATAACTTTAGGAAACTGCTAGGGATCCACGGATAGGTACTCAATACGAACAATACTCTATAGTCGGATAGTCGATCAAAAAACATCTCATAACTCCACATATCGGATTCCTAACTTAACCGTCAGTAAGAATGAAAACATATGTATGACTTTTGCAGTAACTTTGCAGATAAGTCATTCAGTATGTCGAATTAAGAATTCCGTGAACATTTCAGATTTCTGAAACAATAAGGCTAAAAATACTAAGTTTCCCGGCCTTTCTGGGTTGCAATTTTTGGAAGAAATTGTATTCTCACCCCCCTTCCCCCTAAAAAAATCAGGCACATTTAGTAGTGAAACCAAGTGTTGAATCCAGTATAGTACCTACGCAGAGGAGGTATGCTTGCCATACATTAGCATTATTTGAAGGACAAAAGTTATCTGGTTGCAGGTAGTCGTTTCAAAACGCCGAAAATAAGCTCAAAATATCATATAAGCACCTTGGTATTAGTTGCTAAATACCGAAATTTAAGACAAAACACATTTTAAGAAATATTTGGGTTGTGCGAATATTTTCAATTTTTGTTTCCACACCTTTTCATATACTATTTTGTCAAGCTACTATTATTATTATTATTATCATTATTTGTCCCTTGGGTTCCTAGTGGAACATCCGGCTTCAGTAGCACGTCGGCATTTCACTCTCTTCTCTCCAGTCTTTTCGAACTGGCTCCACGGATGCTCACAAGCTTTCATTTCTTCCTCACATGATCTTCATACCACCCTCGGCTCAGACGCCCAACTTGTCGTTTCCCATGCGGGTTCCACTCGAGGGCCTGGCGAGTGGTGTCTCCCAGTCGGTTTTCTCGGTGTATGCCCAATCCATCTCCACTTTCTTCTGCATATTTGTTGGGCGATAGGTTCTTGGTTGGTTCGTTGTCAGCCAGAGTTCCTCCTTGCTTATTCTTTCTGGCAATCTTATCTTCAGTAACGGGCGTAGAGGGCGGCTGTCCATGTATGTCTGTAGTTTGTTACAAATGCTTTCGTAACGCGCCAAGTCTCTCAACCATGATATAGAAGAACTGACTTACTTGACATTAGTGTTGAGAATCCGGATCTTGTTCTTTGTGGAATAGATCTCCACATTGATTTCAGGTTAACAAAGGCCTGTCTTGTTTTCCGATCTTCGTTTTGACGTCTTCATCTGTGTCACCGCCAGCAGTTGAAACGTTGCTGCTTAGGTTGGTAGGTGGAAGAGACTATTTACTTTAGGCTAATCCCGTTCATGGTGATTGGTGCTTGTTGTTCATGCTGTTATTGGTTAAGCATCTTCATCACCTCTGTCTTCTCTACGTTCACTTGAAGTCCCTTTATCCCTGCCCCTTCTGTCAACTTGTTGGTCTTCACCTGTAGACCTGCGAGTTTGTGCAACAAGACACCCGACATAAATCATCAACGGCGGCGAAATCTAAATCTCCTGGAGTCTTTTCATCGGTTAAACAGCTTATGCCCATTCTCTCGCTCCTCACGGTTACCTGAATGACCCAGCTGACCACAATCAGGAAGATGATCGGTGACAGTAGGTAGCAGCCTTGTCTTACTCCTTCCTGTCTTTACTTCAAAGGCATCACTGGGCTTTCCATTGTCAATCACTTGGCAAGTAGTATCAAATGGCATACAGCTATTGAAGAAGGTTGAAAAAGGTTTGTGGCACTAAAACTGTAGTGTTGAAGCAGCTGACTGCCAAATTACTTCTCGGTTGACGCTGTTGAAGGCCTTTTCAAAGTCGATGAAGTTGAGTTAAAGATTCTGTTGATAGCCATTTTATACTCTGTTCTATGATGATGCATAGTATAGCTTTGCAGTTTGGTCCGCATATGACTTGCACTTCCTGAATCCAGCCTGCTTGTTCCGGTCGTAGTTTTGAATCCAACGCATCTTTTAGTCTCTCCAGAATGATGCGGCATAATATTTTGCTTGATGTTGACAGGAGCATGATTCTTCGCCAGTTCCTGCAAAGAGTTAGGTCTCCCTTCTTTGGAGTTTTGACCAAGCAGCCCTTCTTCCAACCTGAAGGTACCTTTCCTTTCTTCCAAACCTTCTGTAGTAGTGGTATGAGCAGTCGGCTGTTGTCTCTGTCTGTTTTTAGTGCTCCTAGCAGAATTCTATCTGGTCCTGCTGCTTACCCGGATTTCAGCAACTTTATGGCCTTCAGGACTTCGACTTTTATTGAAGGACTTGTGTTCAGTGGTAATTCCGTGGCTGGGCTGCTGGTGGTATTTCTGGACGAGTTGCAGGTGATGGTGGTCGATTCAAGAGTTTTTTGAAGCGGTCAGCCCATCGTTTCCTTTGTTTCTCCTCTTTGGTAACCACGTTTCCATCACCATCTCTCATCGATTTCATCTCAGTTGATCTCTTCCCTTCCTGGTTATTTGATATAATGTTTCCAGGTATCTCCTACCTGCAGACTGTTTTGCTTCACTTGACAGTGTGTCGTAGAAGTGTCTTTTGTCTTTACGCGCACTCTTCTGCACTTTTTTGCCCAGTGTTTTATAGATTGTACTCAGTTCCTCTTTTCGTTGTTCATCCCTGCACTGCACTGGTTCATATTCTGTTTCGCCACCTTCCTCCCTCTCCTCTGTCAGCTTTCATGTGTCCCTGGAGATCCATTTCTTGTCCTATTTTTTCCTCCTTCCTAATGCGGTTATGCAGGTTTCTCTCCACATCTCTTTCAACGAGTCAAGCTGCTAGCTAACATTTTATCTATGAAGCCGAAAAAGAGATGATGAGAAATAACTAACGGTGAAAACGCTGGAGAAAACGAGTGGATCTAAAGGTCCGCCTTAGCAACGACTGACATAGCCTATTATATTTCTTTATTTCTGTTGGAAAGGCAGATTTTCGTAAAATACAAAGGTCTAATTGCTTATTTGAGTTGTTGTTAAAGTGACTTTTCGAGTCACTGCAGGAAGCTTCCAAAAGTTAAGTAAGATCTTGTTGTTACGGAGGAGAGGGGGTGATATAACCAGTTTACAGCAAAGTTTGATCGAAGCTCAATGTCGGCTGCAGAAATCACTGAAAAACCAAGTATTATCGACGTCTTTCTGAATGTTTTTAGAATCTATTCAGTAGCATGCCTCATTCCTTTTCTCCAGCGAACAATACAGAAAATATTAATCAAAAAACTTTAACTTAGTAAATAGCTGAATAGCAACGTATTTTTGATCCGATCTCAAACAACCGACTATTTAACCTCAGAAATGAAAATCTGAATAAAAACTTATTCCGATAGCGTAATTAGAAGACGAGGTTTATCTGAATAATGTGATGTATTTGTGCAATACATTTCGAACAATCTGATCACTAAAAAAACTTAACACCGTACAAACTCACATCGCCTGACTTGTGAGAAACAGAATAATAATCAGCTGCCATTCCTAGATATACTCCTGAGTCAACGAGAAGATGGTTCAATAAGAATGTCAGTTTACAGAAAGCCTATATGGACAGGACAATCCCTGAATTTTCACCGTTTTTGTCCAATACAATACAATCGAGGTCTATTAAAATGTCTGTTTAATAGGATCTATCGCATCAATACATCAGATACGATGAATGAAGATATCAAATTACTGACTAAAGTACTTACGGAAAATGGATATCCCATGTTTATAAACCGTTGCAGAGGTCAAGTAGCATCGAAGCCAACTCTAGACACGGCTCCTAAGAAAAGCGTCTATATCACTCTACCGAGAAGCGGGGAGTTGAACAGTATCATTTTGAGACGTATTATACAGCTAATCTTATCATCGTGGGAAAAACAAAACACATACTTCACCAAAAACCTAAACACTGCATCAATGATTACGTTACGTCCCATTGTGTTTACCAATTTACATGCGTGTGTGGTAACACATACATAGGGAGGAGTAATCAAGTCATGAAGGTGAGGGTAGAACATGTACCTAAATGGCTTGAAAGACAAATGGAGTGTGAAACAGTGATAAACGCTGGTGGGAGACGACCCTCTTCATTTATAGCTAAACACATCATAGAAACGGGTCACAAAGTTAGTGTTCAAACACCTTTCAAAGTTTTACATGGAGATAGTCAGGGTCATATACTGAGATTTGTGGAAGCCATAGCCATACACAAATTGAAACCACCTTCATGTGTACAAAAACAATTTGTTCTTACACTACACCTAGCTAGGTAAACGTTTTTACCAAAGTTAGGATCAACTAGGTCACTTCATATTCGTTTTCATCTTTCTTAATTCTAATCCACTATTGTGTTAACTGTAGCATTTGTCCTCCTACTCCTCGGTTCAATATATATTGTGTGATCAGATTATTCGAAATCTATTGCTCAAATACATCACATTGTTCAGATAAACTTCGTCTTTTAATTACGCTATCGAAATTCATAAAAGTGACTAACTGTTTCAAAAAGTTATTCATGAATAAGAATAGCCCAAATTTTCATCAGTGAAGAGATATTTCTTTTCAACTATTCTATTATCAATCTGTACAATAGTATTTACAATTGGTTGAACTGATTATGGCATTCTGTTGTACGTACTGATGAAATATGAAATTTTCAATAAAAATTTGCAAATCAACCACCACCTTATTTAAGCTTTATCAACACAGCATTTCAAAGAATTCCATTCGTAAATTAACATCTGAAACGGTTTCACCGGCCGGTGATAACAACGGCAGTCCAAGTCGTATGATTCAACTGCCCGATCACTCAGCCAATGATATATCAATATCAGGTTTGCTTACTTCTAATCATGGTTATTCACTATTTACTTAAAATTTTTTATTGGTTGATGAGTCTCTACTTCATTTATGAATCCTCATTCAATAGAGTTAAAGTAAAATTGTGAGTTATTAGTTTTAAATGATTTAAAATGCAAGTCTTACTGTCTACAGAATAAACAAGTATTTGAAAAGTAAGTACACAAATTGAACATGTTACATGCAATAAGCGATACCATGCAGCTCAACAAAAAACAGCCACATTTTCTGACATACTTAAAAGTAAATCATTAACTAAAAATTTTAACGAAACTTCGTCTCATAGATTCAAGACAGACAGACAGGCAGACAAAGTCAATGCAGAACCTCACACACAAGTGCATAGGCCGCAGTTGCCATGTTTCACGGTGGTGTACAAAGCATAACTGAATACAAAAAGCATCAAAGTAGACGAAGTTGTGTGAAAGAATAAGACATCTGAAGATAAAAGTTAGTGAAAATACTCTAGCTTTAGATGTTAAAGAGTGACCATTTGACCATTGTGACCAATTTTCAGCCATGTCACTGGTTTCAATACCAATGTCAGGCAGACTAGATCTCCCCACTTGGCTCACACCAATAGTCAGAGACTTTATCGACTGGTGCCACGTCTTGATCTGGTCGCTTTCTAAAAGCGAATGAATTGTTAACATGATTGAAATTTACTACTCCATTAATGTTTCATTCATTAGATTTAGGAGATCTAGTAAAACTATAGGTTTAGTCTGGTTCCTTGCACAGAAGAAGAATTTTATACACAAAAATAAAAGAGTTCAGACAAATGCACAATTTCTATCTGAATTCAGGTATCTTAAATATCACTTACCCACAAGAAACAGCTTCAATAACCGCTATACAAAATGCTTCTGTCAGAGATGTATTCAGAAATATATCGCCTTGTATTAGGACCTGAGTAAACAATGAAGAATCAGGGAAACTACAGTGAAACTCAAAATACTTTAAACAAAAGAAGTATTTATAGAAATAAGGTTATTTTGGTTGCATATCGCAGGGTCCAGAATTTGGTAGTTACGTATACGCTTCCGACCAGTATTCTATGCTTTTATAAATCTGATTACATTTGATTCAGCAAATTGCGACAGTAGAGCAGTAAGTCGAAAGGGAAGACAGATAAAATGAATATTACTTGCCAACTTCCTCATCAATTTTTGCAATCTATGAGATAGGGATTTTAACGTATATGGATGCAAAAACAATAGTTTGAAAGTTTATGAGGCTGAATATACTTTTTCACAAGTGATCATTGAAGCTTTTCGGTAGTTTTGTTTCTCGCACTTATCAGGAGAGATCCACAAGTTACGTAACTTAACCACTAATCATACTTACCTTCTTGATTATTCTTTTAATTTTATGGGTGTGAAGGCTTCGTCACTCAGATATTTAGCTAAGAAAACGTTGATTAGCAAACTCATTTCGGTAAGTAATGTGATTTTGGCAACTCAGCATACACATACTTTGATTTTCTGATGAAGGTAAGTTAGTAGTATTCATTGTAATACATGTTTGGGCATACAATGATTACTGGTGTATTTTAAATTTCAGTATATGTGGATTGGGTTGGAGGGGGGTTCAGGGTGGCCAGGCCAAGACTTGGCACCAGTTGACGAAATCTTTTACCGTTCGTTTGAGTCGTGTGGAGCGGTGTGGACCCCCTATTTAGGGTACCCAAAATGAAAGGAATCAATGGTCTAGGACTATTGGTGGTATATCTGAAAATCGGTCACAATGGCACAGATGTATTCATTGATATCGTCTAATGCTCGAATAGTAACACTAGCCTTTATCTTCAGATTGTTAATTCTTTCACACTACTTTATGTTTTTGATATGAACCTTTTTCTATCTACCTGTTTTCTGTGTACTACTATGAAGTGTGGCAAAAGAGAGCAAATGTCTTAAGTATAAGATACTTATGAGTAGTTAAATCAATAACATAGATTAAATGCTACGATTGTTTCACCTTTTTTTCTTCTCTTTTATGACGTTCAGGGACTTCGACTACTTTGACTGCTCGTATAAGATATGGCAATTTTTACTGTTACACAGTAATACTACGGCTAATGTTGATGACTGATTGATTGAATGAAGATGAAGATAGTAGAAGTCACCGACGATCACAATTGCAGAATAGTAAGCAATAAGTTCATCTCCTTTACTGATAAACTTTCGTAATGGAAATAAGCCAACCATTATAATGATTAACGATCTCATAAAAATCTGAACGCATTTGTATTTGATAATAATGAAAAAAGTGCTGAGTTATTCGAATAATTTAATTAGCTTGTCAGTATCTGAGGTTGTTTGGGAATAAATTCACCGAATTATTGACAAAATTAACTTACAGAATGAACTTCATGAGGCTGCAAACTTCCTAGTAATTTGACACGTGAATGTAGTTGATAACGTTCACGAATCTCTTCAAGCTCAAGTCTTTTAGGTCCATCACCGCCTAGATTAACGTTTAGAAATGTATGAACACTTTTTTATGAAGTCATCTGTCAAATATCAATCTTTTTATAAAAGTCATATTATATATACAAGTGAAATTTTGCAAAGTAATAAAAGAATCTATCCAAATCCTATGACTTATACTGAAGTATGTACTATAATACTGACAATATAAGCTCCTACGAATAAATAGAATGTTATACATATCCGCTTGTACAACTTGACGGCTAAGGCACAAATCAAAGTATTTTCAAACTGTTATGGAACACCTAAAGTGATATTATCAACTATGCAACTAAAAGAACACAAAAAAAGGAAAAGTTAAAATATGGTTATCGTAATGAGGAACTTCAGTGCACAGATAGAAAAACTATGTCGTATAGCAAATCCCTTAGGTGATACGTCTAGAATCCTGATTTAGTAAATAAATGGTGGTCATCGTCTTTTGTCAGGTGCTTTCATTAACTCCCTGTTCAAAACCATAACTGATTTCAAATACTACCTGATATGGAGGTTAGGGATCACTTCACAAGAACACAGAGGGGTCACGCTGTAAATACTTACCATTAAAGAGAATTTATAAATGATTACAACTCCTTCAGCAAGATGTGTATGTCGATATCAACTACACATGTTTACGCCTACAACTGAAATATCTTGATGAGTTCAATTAAAAGATGCATATAACAAAGGCAGATTTGAGGAGGAACTGGTTAGTCAGTGGATCATAGCAGTATAGCTTATCTTGAGTTTTGTTTCACCTTGAATTCTCGTTAGAAAACGGGAGGGTTCATAATGGACATGACTCACTGCTTACTCTACAAACTGCACGTGTTTATTGAGTTGCATCCCAAAGCATTGTATACTATAAAGTGCTTTGTTTATTTGAGGTCATATTCCAACTGATGAAAACAGACTAGTTAATGTTGAACTCAATGTTAAATTTATGAACTGGTGTCTAAGGTTATCAGCAACACTTTACGTCTTGCATGTTCTGTTGATGTGTACAACCTTATAATATCATAGTATGAAACATTATTCAAAATGAAGTAAGGGTCAAATGTACTATGTTTAGGTCTGGCCATATTATAACAAATTTTCCATTCAAAGTTATACAGAAGGCGAAAGCGAACTCAGTAAACACTACTATTACTCTCAGTACTGAAGCCCTTATCATGATGAAGGCAAGTTTGAGGGAGGTTGATAGTAAAATAGGTGAATTCACAAAAAGGGTGTTTTTCTCCTCCAGACTGCCTCTTCTAAATAAAATAGAAAGTCGTTCAATCAACAAAGAGGAATAACAGCAAAATTATTTTCTATACTCAAGGTAATCGTCTTTTAAGTCGAAAAAATACTATCAAAACACTGATGCAACTCGCTAACAAAAGTTATAACGGTTCTGATTCTTTACAGGATTAGTGCTGAATATGTTAGCTAGTAAGATACAGAAGCCCTTACAATGGAATATTAAGCCTAAAAATTGTCATCGTTATTATTTATCTACTGAATGATAGGTGTAACTTAGTAGTAACTCCACGTATCATTTGATCTGAACACCTAACTTACATCGAACTAGTCAAAGTTTCAAACCTATCCCAATTATTTTAGTTTAAGCAGTCGGGTAGACAAAGTATCCATCGATGACAAAAGGTTATCAAAGGTGAATGCTATGTGACCGCTTTGGAAGTTCTTTAGCGAATTCACCAGTTAATCGGTCATATTTAGATTTCTGAAAAACATCACCAAGGTTTTGCAAAGTTCTATCGAAAAGAATGACTAACCTATTAGAAATCTTAATTCTGGGAACAATGAACATAGCGATGGAATGATAGCAACCAATAAATCAAGTCCTTTACGGTAAACTAAACGCGAAACCACGACTATAGTAACTAAAACAGAAAACAATTAGTAGAAAAGAAAGCAATGTTGATTACAAGGTTTCTTATATCGTTGAAATCAATTATAAACAATTCTAGAAATCGATTGAGATGGTAGAGTAGTTGTATAAAGAAGCTTATAAACTCAGTTATCCTCAGTGGCCTTCTCTGTACATTCGACTACTTATTGTTGCTGTTGAGAACAAAGGTATGAAAAACCATTTCGCTGATCTTAATAATAATAATCGCTTTATTCCAAACAATATATATGACAGTGTGGAATTCTAATCATATAATTTTTCAACAAATTCACTCCCAGAACAATACTTTCAGACAAAATGGTTATTGCATCTGAATAATGTTAATAATAACAGTATTGTAGGCAATAATGTGAAATAGCCAGATGGTTTTGGATGGACGTCCGGCCCATAAAGAAGAATCAACAGAAATGCAAGTGTTATTTTGGTGGTGCGGGCTCATTCAGCCGATAAAAAAACCTGCAACTCAATCTAAGCATCTGACGGATAAAAATATAAAAAGTCCACTTCAATGCAACGTAACATTTTTTTCTCTGTTTTGTGATGGACTCGACAAACGGAGAGTTGAAAACAGTTTAAAAATGTGCAAGAGTACATGATACGTTCAAAGGACATATTTACATGATTAAAACAAATTGGCAGGAAAGAATTTCGTGAAAATTTTTGGTGGATAAATTTGGTAACCCAAGGTTTAAGCAGGCCGCCGTAATTGTTATTACTGAAATAACTTGACTTATTTTGGTCCAGGAAATTATGCGGTGTTGGCAGATTTACAAAATGGCATACCATTGCTAATATAGATTACCTGTTTTAATAAGATAATACTTGCAAACCACACGCAGTGCCCAAAAAACATGACAGACAGATTTTAACCGTTTCTAAGGATTGAAAGAATGAGAACAATAAAAACCTAATGAGAAGGGGCTAAAGGAAAAAAATCACCATTTCAAGTCATCCATTGTTGAGGTGAAAGTTTTTTAGCCTGCAATTTTGATCCTATGCTAGTGTGTTATCAGAATAGTCTTAAAGAACGGTTTGATGTTTCAAAGAACCAATTAAAGCAAAACGATGAGTGGTTTTTCTGTCATGTTCTTATGTACAAGAAAACTATATACATGTGATATATTTTCGCTCCATCAAATCAGCTCTCACATTTACGGGTTATCCTTCAATTTCAATTCAATGGACCACAAGTAACTGAAAGGAACCGTAGCTATTTATGTACAACATGAGCATTTCAGAATATTCACCATCCTTTTGATGAATGTGAGCAATGCAATGACAACGGTACTTGCAGAACAAGATAACGTCACTTATTTCACTTGGTTTTCCTCACCTGCATGCAACCTAAGTAAATAGGTAACCAATGGACAAATGTAAACATACACATTAATGGCATACATAGGGAAATGTTCAGGAAAATCTTGTGTGGATTTTCTGAACACGCTGGGATTATATTAAAACTTACCTACATGGCATATATTACTTCTTGTTAAACTAGTTTGAACGTTGAAGAGGCAGAATAAGAGATAACATTCATGACCAAGGTAGTGAGAGATTGAGCACCATTTGTTTTTGAACATACAAGTCAGTTTATATTCGCTTATTGGGTATAACTTAAGTGAACCACAGTGTACTCAAGTTCTTCTGTTTATTGATGATCGTGAAAGTTTCTGACAGGATAATTACACATACTATGTCTATTACAAGGCAGGCTATTGCACTGGTTAACGAAGCATGGCTCTTTGAGTTTAAATGTCTCAGTATGTGTTCAAGGATCCGGGTAGACAAATGTTTCTCTATTCTTACTAGTTGGTTGGTTGTAGGCAATCGGCAGGAAGTCGTGGATTAGGGTTTCATGGTTGTTGGTACTCGTCAGCATGGAGTATTTGCAACCTCTAGGGGACTGATGTTCCCTGTGAAATTCAAACCCGTGTCAACCAGGGTTGCAGTCAGCAATATCACCACTGACCTCATGTAAGGCTGCATTACATACATTGATTGATCATTAGAGAGTAACCAATTTCATATTGTCTAGTCCTGAGCCCTGACCAAATTCTAATGGTGCACTTTGATGGATGCTACCTACTTAACAACTTTGTATAAATAACTATTTGTATAATTGCTTGACCACTTCTAAGTTTTTCTCAATCATGCCAAAACACTGATGTCTTTTTCACATGGATGTGCATATACCTTGACTGTGTACAGGAGACAATTAACACGTGGTATCCTCTATTTTGCCTATTCATTGTTTGAACTAACGTCACAGGAATTGACGTCTATGCCTGTACTTGTGAATTGATCACTTACTTTTCGGGCTATATGCAGCTAGTGAAAACTCTGGGAAGTGAATGACGTCAAACTATCCTGAAAATGCAATTCTTATTGCTTTATGCATACCCAGTATCGTTAGTTACATTCCAATCCATCTCGTTATTTTACTCCTCATTAAATGGTTTTAGTATGAAATTCAGTCTTTGAAATTTAGTGATAGCTCTAATCAGCCGGCAGTTACTTCTCAGACTTCACTGATGAATAACTGGAGTATGAATTCAACGGAATTATTTTCCTCAGGGCTAATCTTTGGTGAAAGAAAAGCTGGAGAACAAGAAGCATAGGATTAGTTCGCACTATCTGCTGGATCAAAATATTGTGTACACCACAAAGTAGATCAACAACAACTCATAAGCAGGCTAAACAAATATAGTAAGCAGTATGAAAAAGTATTTGTTTTGTTGATTTCAGGTTGGTATTCATCATGGACTGACATCAGTCAGAAAAACATTGGGAACCTGAGACCAGTGGACAGGTGTTTCGCTCTGGTAGTGCACATCCATGGCTCCGCCGGGTATCGAACACAGAACCTCCAGGCTACGCAGTCAGCACGTTACCATTGAGCCACTAGCTTGGAATCCGATGGTTCATATTTCATACTTTTTTCAGTTCACGAAATAGCGCAACCTCTATCCAATGTTGTCGTTGGGTAACTGACCACATTCTCGATTATGCTGGCCCCACCCGAGGTTGAGCTATATTGTGGACTGATGGAAGTATGAAATATGGACTACTAGATTCAGGCCCAGTGATCCATTAGTAATGTGCTGGCTGTGTAACGGGTAGGTCCTGAGTTCGATCGCTGGCGAGGTGATGGATCTGGACTGTTGAAGAGTCCTACACTAGGACGAAACAGCAGTCTAGTGCTCGCAAGAATCCAATGTTTCCACAGCTGATGTCAATCCATGATGAATATCAACCTGAAATCAATAAACAAGTTTCCACAAACCCTTAAATTGAATTTGTTGTATTTCTTATAAAGCAATTTTTCTATTATTTTTAATTTCGCACCCTATCCTTCGTTAACTGTAAATAACCAACTGGGAAATATTACACAGAATTCTCAAATTGGTACTAAAGTGGATTTTAAACCTATAGATTCCCTTAGAAACAAATTTTGTCCGTTAAAGGATCCTACTGAGTTTAAAATATGAGAAAAGTAATCTACCAAATCCTGAGAGGTCAAATAGACAAGTCAAAGTAGTCGACTAAGGTCAATTAGGCTATCAAAGCACAAATCAAAGCATAAATCAAGATTGCTAGTCTTTAACAAAATCAGAAATTTAGGGCAAAGCTCAGCCATAGCTGTGTCTGCAGTAACACGCAACCACACAATATGATGAGACGAACTCACAATACATGAGACTAACTTAGGTGGTGAGAAAAAAGGATGATAACTGAGTCAAATTTTATCCAGTAAACATTTGAAACTTGTTATGGGAATTTTATTGTCCCTACGAAGGAAAGGAACTGAAAATATAAATCTAAGCGTTAAAGTTGCATGATTAACCTAGGGTGGTTATGAGCAGTAAATTGTGTTCAGAATATCGTCCAGTAAATAAAACTGTTTAGTCGTGTGATATATCAGACAAACAGACCATTATGTTAGGGTTTAATATAAAATGAATGAAAAAACATATGAATGTGATTAAGAAATTTACTAACTATAATTAAGATCACGAGAAGATGGGTCGGGAATAAACGCTGAAGCATCCACAGCGTTTGGAATCACAAAACCCGATTAGGCTCATATTTTGCTCGTAGAACCACATTCTCTTTAGTAGTATGTGAGACACAGATCACTTGATCTACCGCTGTAAAGACACCTTCCATTACCTTATTCATAATAATAGCTGATAGATCTGAGAAACCGAAAAGAGAATGCTCTGTATATACAGTTCGACAACCAAGACTCTGTGCATGAGCAACGGCCTCACAAGCAAAAGATGAAAATATCTGAAATAAAAGAATACAGTAGGATATAAAGTACACATACTTTTTAAAAACATGTGTGTACAATTTTATTAGAATAAATTCCAAAATGAAGTTATAAAACCCAATATAGTAAAAACACTCAGTAAGTGAATGGACATCTAATAACAAACACACAAACCCTAGCGTAATGGCCACACGTATGTTCAAGAAAGGTACAGTTGCAGTATAGTTTGAATACAGTTTACTACTGTGATATTACAAGGATGTAAAAACCAACACAGCGTGCAAGAAGAAAAGTGAAGTCAATAACCTTGATATATTTAAACTCATAGAGCTATATTACAGCGTCCTTTACTTCATAAGCTAGCGAAATGACTCAAGTGTAAACGCATTTGAACCAACGATAGAGTGGCTAGTTTGGAAAAACTTGGGCATTGAGTTGATACGATCGATTGTATGAGGTACATTTTATTTATGTAGTCCCACTGTAGTACATGAGAACAAACAGTCCACATAAATACTCTGTATTATCATTTTTCCTTCTAATGTACTAAGCCAGGTTAATAATATGTAATTAGCACTTAGTCCAATGGGTTAGAATGAATAATATGAAAAGGTGAAGAGAATTATCCATGATACTACTTTTTAGTTCCGGAATGACTACATACTAAATAATATGAAAGAACAAATACAATAGATTTTTTTTAATACTGAAAATTCTTTTACACATACCGAATGTCCATGTACAATATTAATCTGTTCACGTAACACTATTTCACGAATTATTGGTAATGTGCCCAGAACAGTGATGAAGATTGATTGTTTATAAAATGGTTGCATCGGGATGTAGTACACCTATACATTTGTTGAACTATTTAAATTAACAAACACAAATATACTTTAAGTCCACGAGCCAAATATCTTACACCTTGACGTTGTTTACCTTTCGAACCATAACTATGGGTGATAATAATAACCCGATGACCACGTCGAATTAGACATTGCGATAAAGCAAAAATATGACTTTCTACGCCGCCGACATTAGGATGGAAGAAATCTGATACCATGCTAAAAGAAATTAAGGTATATTGTGAATAAGTAATTTAAGTGAAATTATGAAATCGACAATACTGTTAAATACTAAGAATAGTAAGTGAAACGTGTCAAGAAGAAGGATAACTTAGTGTACCTCACAACGTACTAGCCTATATGCAAACTTTGCCATGAAGATAAACTTTGTTCAGTACATTTACGTACCTCATTGTGAATAACTTTTATTGGAATTTTCATTGCCCTAATCAAACAAAGTATTATGTAACTAACGTGTAAATTCCAATTGTTCACCGCCACAACACACATGTACTTGGTACCGTACCGATTCACCAGGGATGATTACGTAAAAGGAGAAAGACACAATAGCTTCCATCTTGACTGAAGTTAAAAGTTATATTGGTGACACATTATGGTGCTTATTATTTTCACACATTGTCAATATCTATTGTAGGGTGTGCATACACTTTTGTCAAGCATGCCTTCTTCAATATTTTCAAACGACACCTTCCCTTTATTCAGTAGAGGATGTTAGTAACAGAAAGTTGGTATAATTCAGAATAACTAGCCAAGTTCTAGGTATCATTACAACCCTTAACAGTTAGATGTTATTATTTGTGAGAACATTAGTGAAATCATAACACTCCTCCGTTGGTATTACCTGTTAATATTAATTCTTATCAAATTTTGTTACTTGCAGTACATCTAGAACAACCGAAATCATAGCGGGAAATTAACCATGATTGGCAACAGATCACTACATAAGTTATTGAAAAATTTTAACACTTTATAATTCAGGCATCAAGTAGCAGCTGTATGGTGAGAAACTAAGATATCTTACAGTTATTCGACAGATAAATTTACACTGGGTAAGGATTGAGGGTGAGATGAAAATCTGGACCGCGACCGGATTCGAACCAGCGACCCGGTCCACATTTTCATCTCACCTTCAATCATCACCCAGTACAAGTACTAGTCGGCCAAACTACGGCTATCTCAGATAGTCAAAAGATAAATTTACGTTTTAGTCTTTATTGCTTGGTTGGTTTAAGGCAATCCATGAATAGTGTCATTTATGTGATTGGACGTCTTGCGCACTTGCTTGTTTAAAGATGGCTTTTAGATATAACTAAATGAAGCGACAACCTTCGTTAACAACAATTATTTCCCGAAAAGAATGCTCTAGGTGATGTCAAGAAACCACTTTTATCTTTGTGTAGATCTCACGATCGAAATTTGATGTTTTATATTTCAATTAGCTGAGTTCTGCTTACGTTACGCACCTGATAACCTAAACAACTTTTATTCACTTATAAAACAAATAAATTCATCACTATATGCGAGACCGAAAGTTCTACTAGTCAGTCAGGTTCACACAAACAGAGACTTGAAACGGGTCAGCATCTTTCAAAAAAGAGCTGCGACAGCAAATCAAAAATAATAATAGTAGGTGCAGTAGCAACAAATTAGATGAGAAAATATGTTAAAAAGAAAAGAGGTAGGGAATAATATAGGGATAACTCACAAGATAAAAACGCATATCTTCACTCCTTGCCCCCGAAACTGATTTCAAGAGACAATACAGATTTATACAGTTTCATAAATCCTATTAGGCCAGCTTATAACTCCATACATAGTTTCAAAATGCAGTTGCTCATCAAATCATTCTGTCTCTATCTACCTATACTACCTGGCAGATGATGTACAATACACAACCCATTGTGTAATGAGAAGATACGAACTTCAAAAAGTGTTACTTTATCTCTTACCAAAGGAAGTAGCAAAATGTGAAGTGAAAAGTACGACATTCTCGGTATCATAATAATAAATAAATGCGGTTATTAAAGACATTTGTTCTCTATTCCCATAGTTGAGAAGAAATTACTTTCGGTGCATGTCATAATGTAATGGATAAATATAGCGCAACACATGCTGCATGGTTCAACCGTACAAAGCACCGAAATTACTGAGTAGGTGTACAAGTACGCAAGCATTTCAATGTTGCAGAGATTGAAAAACATGTCTGAAGATGAAATAAGTCATGAATAGAATACAACACAGCAGTATATCACACTGCAAAGAAGAGAAATCAATAACAACAAAATCAAAGCAAAGAAAAGATTAAAGAAACACGTTATGAGACTAGACGTTTACAGAATATTGTGATATCTAGTATTTGCAAAAAAGTTAAAATGGATACTTTCGTGTCAGTATAATAGAGTGAGAACCATAGAAATGAATTTATAGTCCAAGATTTCGGTCGGCTTTCAGAATATGACTACGAAGTTAACTCAGATTAGTTTATTTATTTAAAAATGCTCACAGACTCTACTGTAACTTCAGCTAGCGCATCACCAAGATACCTTAATATGAGAAACCAAAAAGGACAAATTTACACAGTACATCGTTGATTTTGTTGTGAAAATTACACTTAGTTTACTAACTCTAATGTCATTAAAAGTTGTATATTGAAATACATGAAGAAACACCCTTAGTCTTGCACCGAGTAGGGAAAGTAAGCCGGGTGTAAAGATCACTGTACATGCAACAATACGGTCGAATTACACTTAACGTTTGTACAGACGGTAGTAAACAATTTCTTCTGATATATATAAAAAGGTAGATTTTCTGTATCATAATCCAGTCAAGTAAGGTTATAAAAGCTGTGCTGTGGTGATGAATTAGTCCTAAGAATCCAATGCATTGGAGCCTTGTGCTCACTTTGACCTAGAACCCAAAAAGGCTTGTCATACACACATTTAATTATATACACGACCTAGTTAGTGTAATCCACGTAAAATTTGACATGAAACGTGATTTAACACTGATCGAAAATCCTGGTTACTGAAGTAGTCTAACATTGGACTAAGTCACCTATAGATATGCACAACATTTCATATCTTTTAAAGTTGGTATCTGACAACATATTGGTTGTTATGGGTGAGCTAAAATGATGATATATATCTTCTTGATTTGTACAATCGATAGTAATAAATACCAATGCAGAACGATTTCGTAGATAACTAGTCCTATACACAGGATTTGACTGAGATAAGCATTCACCCACATTTTAATTTTTAGCGAAATATTGTGGCAAACGTATCTTTAAGTGTCACTTTGGAAATTGATCTCCACAAATATATCAAACAACTTCAAGCTTTTACGCACTTACATAGTTATAAATACAATCAGAGAACGTTAACAAGCTGGACAACTCTCACAAATGCTCCCAGACTACTATCACTAATATCTCCATAGCTATTTTTCTGTAATGCTGTGATAATTTAAAATCACAGACAACAGATTTTTAAACAGTCCGGTATATCTACTTCACGAAAATGGTCAACCCAGAACTTACGCGATGTTATACCTTCCTTTTCTTGACGACGAGATGAGATAGTCATATTGCATCTGATAAAACCTTCAAGGGTACTTTTCTACGAAAAAGAATGAAAAAGCCAAATGACATCACTTATATATCTTCAAGTTAATGGTCAACAGAAAACGAGTTAGATATATTAAACCTTAAGAAAAATTTGATTACAGATTTCTGTCGAAAAAATCAAATGAAATATGCCTACTGAAACAAGTTCTCACAGTTTAGATCAACCTGACCCAATCTTCAATACACAATTACAGTTCAGTTGATCGATTAGGTACTTAGCTTCGTCTGAGTAAAGAACCAGTACGAAGTTCGAAAACCATTTTGTATTCAATAAAACTACAGTAAACGTCCCAAGAGTTTAGTGAAACTATAAGCAAGAGCTGAATCGGAAAATTTAATTGATATCAAAACTCAGAAATTTTGCGAATTTAAAACAACTTCACTGAAACGCTACCTTGCCATTGTTTTCTGTCACTTTTTAAAATGACGAATTGTACAGAAGTTTTAAATTAATAGGTTGCTGAGTCATGAGATAAAACATTGAATTAAATTGACTTCGTCTAATACAATGCATCTAAGCAAATAGCAAATGTGTGAATTTCTGCATAACCCCTCTTTGCTGGAATTCTCATCGGTACATCAACAGTATATGAAAAAGAAATTAAAAACAGTGATGAACAAGAACGGAAAATCCCTTGGAAACGACAGAGAACACAGTCTAAGACGGGAGGAAAAGTTACGTAATAATGAGATACTAGAAACCTTCAATAATTCAAATAGTAGACGTTATTGTGCTACTTCAAGCGATTTTGAAGCTATTTCACTGACCATAAAACAAACATCCAGATTTATATACATTTCCCAGACAAGTAATTAATTTTCATGAATTGGCATACGTTTTGACATGTCCTTGGGAGTTTCTTTCATTACTACATGTTTTTAGTTTATGATTGACAGATTCGTGATTTGCAGGTTCATATTACCTTAAAAACATTTTGAATAATGTGTGTTACAACAGTGGAGTTGTGACTTATTGGTTCAGGGAGTTGACTTTCAACCATTAAGTCAAGTTCGAAGCCCGCTTCACCTACCGAAGTTTGGCAACCAAGTATTAAGTATCAACAGCCCTTAAATAATAGGCGTGATTCACTGGCAACTGCATGAATGTGCATAAGCTTGCTAGATGAGGTTTTTTCATGTTTCAGTATTGATACATGTGAATTTTGCTGAGTATATTTAATTGTATGCACACTCAAACTTTAGTTACACCACTTTACCTATATTCCTTAGGATGCGAACACTGTGTCCGCATGCAGGGTTAATGCAACTCGGATTTGTACACTAAGTAATAAGGGAAATGTGGTGATATACTAATTGGGTGCCAAAGTACCAGTTAGTGAAACAAGTTTTGAACACTTCCCTATACAATTTAGACCAACACTTAGCGATTTCATGCATTGCTGTTATGTCTTAGTTCTGAAGTTTGGAAACAGCAGTTTTTCATCGACATTCAGGATTACAGATTTTTTTCCGTTAAACTGTTTTCCTTTAAGATGATTGGGCATTCGCTCCATTTTCACCTGTGAAAAGTGCAGTTTTACTATCCTAACCCTGGAAATAGCATTAACTACCAGAGAGGGTATGTTACAATAGATATATGGCTGTAAAAGGTCAAATGGTAGCCAATATTTCAGTTTCATAGAGTTTGAATCATACATTTTTGTTGACAGGAATGACAAATTAGTGCTTAGAAAAGGGACTGCTATGCCCTAGATGCTTTGAAAAATGACGCTTGTCTTCATCATAACTGAGTTCAAAATTCGGGCGAAAACAAAAACGAAGCTAAATATGTAAGTAAAGCAGACATGCCATTCTTGTATACTTGTAGAGTAACCCTGAGCTCTCTGAACTACTACTAAGCCAACAAATATTTAGCTGATATTACGAAGGCTCTGTACTTGAACACCTGTGGGTGTTAGAGCCCATGATGAGTTGTCAAGCGAATTGTGTGCATTGAGTAGTGTCCGTTGAGGATGTCCACATTCTCCATTCTTATGCAACTTTACTATAGATGCACTTATGGAGATGTTCCTCGTCGTCTGACTTTACAGGGATCGAGCCCATCGCAGGAGAATCCTTAATATATCTACGGTATGCAGATAACAAATACTGAGAAAATGCAGTTTTCTGGACACCTTAAGTGGCAATTTGAGAAACTTTGCGATGTGTTGATCACCACCCAAATACGAATTGTTTCTGCTGGACTGGTCTTCCCTGGTGCCCTCGCTAACAGGGAGTGAGACGATTGAGCGCGTTTACCATTTCACTTGCCTGGGAAATTGGATTGGCCATAATCGGTCAGTGACCGAAGAAATCTCATCACGGATACAAAAACTTGGTTGGACTTTGCCAACCTACGCCGTCTGTGACATCGCCATGATATCCGACTGCCTACTCAAGGTCGAGTGTACTGCACTGCAGTTCACTCTGTTCTACTGTATGGCTGTGAAACATGGCCACTGAAGTTACAGGATATGAGAATGCTTTAGGTATTTGACCACTTTCGTCATAATAGGATAAGCTGTGTTGTGGTATCACAAAGTCAGTGACGTAGGAGTCAGGCGTACAGTTTTAGGGAAAAGACTAAGCTAAACGATAAGGTTGGGGACTTTCGTCGACTCAGGTGTCTGGAATGTGTCACGCACTAGTTACCGTCTGTCTTTCCACCCAATGTTCGGAAAAGTAGGTTTAGGCTGGAAAAGGGTTATAAGTGGGCAAATTGAAAACAGCATCATTGTATGAAGTTTTCGACTGTTAGTCTGAGCCAGGTAGGGGAGTGTAAAATTCCCGGTTTCGGTCAATGTGACGATAGGAACTGGTGATTGGAAACTCTAGGTGATATTAGTCAGAATGGAGACCAGTGGGGGAGATATATCCACACAATCTACATCTTAACCTTCCTACTGAATTTCAGTTTTCTCTCACTTCACATTGCTTCCTTCTTACGGCTTTCTATCACTTTTGACTGCTGTCTTCTTTATTTCTTTACCTTTCATCCTGATGCATTCTTGCTTGATACGCTGATATGAAGTGTGGCAACTGACAATGCCAGGCAGTTATATTTGGTCCTATGTTGATATTGCCATGTTATTAACAAAATATGCATTTGTCAAAATAAGGGTAAATTCAGTTTACTATGATCTCTTTGCAATCTCGTCTGGTTAACCAGTTCTCTAGTTACTAGCCAGTCCTAGGCCCGGATAAAGAGGGAAGTTGGGCATAGGACTAGCAACCCCACGCCGGAAAACCAATCCAATCGCTAAACAAACTTCAAAGCACAAAGAAATCATAAAGAATAGAAGCAAACTTATTCCTTACTGGAATTGGAGAGTCGAAATGACGCCGCTGGGGGAAGCCTTCGGGTAGCCAGTCGGCCGATGTGTCTTCTCTCAATGAAAGCAAAAGTAAGGATGAGGACATGCAATGTCCGCACCATGTATGAACCTACCAAGGGTGCCCAGATTCCAAAAGAGATGAGGAGGTATAGCATGGGAAAGCTTGGAATCTGCGAAAGCAGATGGAACGGAAGTGGACTCTCTAAACTCTTAACTAGAGAGTCAATAATCTACTCAAAAATTGTCACCCAGACGACAACCACAAGCACACCGAGGAAGTGGCTACTATGATGTCTCCAAGAACACCGAAGGCTCTCATGGAGTGGGAACCAGTCTCCTGCTGTAGGATCATGACAGCAAGATTTAAATCAAAAGGAAGGCAAGTCACAACCATTCAGTGCTACGCGCCTACAAATAATGCAGATCAAGAGAAGGAGGAATTCTATAGACAAATGTGATCAGTAATAGACAAGACTCCACCCCAGTTGGCGAAATCAAAAATTCTAATGGAAGGGGGGACATGGATGCCAAACTGAGAACTCATCATAGGTAAAGAGGCGCTCGGTGAAATGAATGAGAATGGAGAACTGTTTGCAGACTTCTGTGAATTCGACGATTTGGTGATTGGAGGCAGTATGTACAAACACAAGGATATTGACGAAGCGACATGGATTTCACCAGATGGATGCACTACACCAAAATCAGATCGACTTCATCTCAATGTGAAGAAAGTGGAGACGCAACCTACTGGACACAAGATCAGATCAAGAAGTGGAGCAGATGTAGGTTCAGACCACTAGCTAGTGCAAGTTGAAAGCCTTCAAAAAAGTTGGTGATAGACCACGGTCCAAGTCAAACACCCAGAAACTGTAGGACAAAACTACAAGAGACATCTTCACGTCAGCCATCAGGACACAATGGGAGACATTGAGCAACAACCGGAAGAAACCTGAATGGAAGAACACTGGAACTCTTTGAAAGCTATGTGGAAAGATACCTGCATAATTGTTTTAGGAAGGAATGGGAAACAAGACAAGGAATGGATCTCAATGGACATACAGAAGATGACAGGGGAGAGGGAGAAAGATGGTGAAGCACAAGATGAACCAGCGCAAGGATGCACAACGAAAGGAGAACTGAGTATAACGTACAAAACACTGGACAAAGAAGTGAAGAAGAGTTCGCGCAACCACAAAAGACACTTCTATGACACACTTGTAACTGAAGCACAACAGGCTGTAAATAGGAGAGACAGACACCTGACAACACTGCATCGAATAACCAGGTTACTATCTGAAAGAGAAGAGATCAACGCAGACGAAACCAGTGAGAGATGGTGAAGGAAACCTAGTCATCACCAGGGAGGAGAAACAAAGGAAACAATGGGCTAACCACTTCAAAAAACTCTTGAATCAAACAACACCGCCACCACCACCAACTGCGACTCGTCCACAAATACCACCAGCAGCACAGCCAACAGAAGCCGAAGTTCTGAACACCATAGAGTTGCTGAAATGCGGAAAGGGAGCAAGACCAGATGGAATCCGGCGAGAAGCACTGAGAATAGACACAGAGACAACAGCCGACATGCTCACACCACTATTGCATAAGGTTTGGAAGGAGGGAAGGAA